GCTTTAGATGTAATTTTACTCAATGCATGAGGACAGGCACACATAAAGATTTTACAGTTAACATTTGATACATTGTGATTTTGGCAGTTTTCTCAAGTTTGTAGTACAAGAAAATTCTGCTTTGTTGGTAATAGCAGCAAAGGGGAAGCATTTTCTGTCCAGAATGTCTAATTGTACTTTCAACGTGCTTCCTATGGCCCCAGTCTCTACAGGACTGTGTGTCAACCAATTTTGAGAAATACTTCATCTAATCCTATAAAAAAATTCATTTCTGTAACTAGAAAATAAGTTATCAGTAAACTCTTCTACACTGAAACATCTTGCGATGGCCAGTATCTTCTGGTATTAAAAGTCTGCACTGAACTCAAAGCTGCCCCCACAGCAGCTGCAGAAGACTTAAGCTGAAGCTTCTGCAGTCCCTTTGCTGCCCTTGAATTGAACTTGCTCTTTTTCCTCTTAAAATCCGTTTCTTCAGGTCCACACTCTGAATTTCCTCACCACCACTCTGATATGAGACACCTAAATGTACTCTGATCCGTCATTTCTGTATGGCAGTGTCGTATTTCTTCTCTTTGGCTATTATTTGGACTTCTTGGCAACAATTATAGGTGAAAAATATAAAAACTTTACATCAATAGGAACACACACATACTGCCAATGAAAAATGAAAAAGTGAATGAGCATTAAAACAAAATTTCATTTCAAAATAGGCCTATAAACTGAAATATTTCTAAAAAAAAAATTTGTCACCGGCTACCTTGGTTAAATAAATTAATAGTAAATTTCTGCTGTTGGCTAACAGAAAGATACAACCTTACAAACAAGTATAATGCAACCAGTGCTGTGATATACTTAGAGAATTGGAAAAACTTAAGTCTCATGTATTTAATATGCAGTGGAAAACTGCATTTTTTCATTCATTTTTTCAGCTGGAGGTATTGGTTTCTTCTGCTTTATTCTTAATTCTTTCTATAAGTATTAGTAACATTGTACAGATAAAGTGCAATTTTTGATTCTGGCATGCTGCTCTGTTGTAACTTTTACAATGTCGAATTACTTCAGGCTGCTACTAATATGAGGTATGTCCTTTATATTTTCATATATCTTTCTGCTGACCGAAAAAAATTGATGTAGTGAAACTGCTAACAAGCTGAGCCTCTGAAACCATGGGCAGGTGATGAAAGCCACCTCATGTCTAAAGCATCCCCAGGTCACAGCTGTCATACTCACTGCAATTCATTGCTGTCACAATCTGCTGTTCCTGCTTGTTGTTGCTCTCCTCTCATTCATTCAACTCATATATCTAAACATTCCATTACAAAAAGACATCTAATGTTCGTCTCATGTTTGAAAGGGCACAACACTCTTCTGAAATATAATTCTGTAGATTTTAGAGCTCAGAGTTCACTGCCAAATCTAAGGTGCTGCTTTGTAAGGCTTCCCTTCTAATTTTGCCTTTGTCTCATCTCCTGAACATAGCAGGATAAAATGTTTGGTTAGTACGTGATCTCAGCTTTATTCCAACTTCTTATCATGAAGAAATGAAATATTGCCCAGTAATAGAAAGGCATTTGAAGCTTTGTGAATTTAAAGATAACAGCACTAACTGTGAACTCTGTGAATTGGAAGGAAAGGTCAGCAAGTCGTCTACTGTGGCACTGTTCACAAAGGCAGTTCTTCTCTCCAATGAACCAGGTTGTTCATAACCTGAAGATTCAGATTTTCTAAGTCTTAATTTTGTTCTTTGTTACTTAATTAGATGATGTTACTATTGATTCAGTTTTCAGAGCAGAAATTTCTCATAGGTCTTCTGCCTTTCAAGCAGAGTTTAAACTTGTAGACATATTGTCCTCTAATTTCAAATCTACACTGTCATTTCAGGTTATATCTATGAAGTCCAAGATGAGTGATTCATAAACTTTTCAAATCAACTTGTGGAAACATTGTCACTGAGGAAAAACACTTAAGCAAAATTAGGGTTAAAACAATGAGCCAGAAGATAATGAAAACAAAACCAAAAAAATCTAAAAATGTAGCAGTAAAAAAAAGGAAGATATGATTCTAATAACAAACAGTTTCGTGAAAGACAGCAAGTGCACTATTTATCTATTCCTATAAAAATAAAGAAAAGGGAGGTTTGACCTTCTCATTTACATCTATTCTCTAAGCTATTTATTTTGATTGTAGTATGTTATTACTCATAAACTTTACATTGCTGGTGCAAGGTTCAAAAACTATGCTGATTAGAGAGTTTCCTGCTCAACTACTCAGTGCATATAATTCAATGGACACTAAAATCACAGCCTCAGATTGTGCCTAGTGAGGAACAAGTAAATTGCCAGTGACATTATGTCCATGCTCATGGGAAGAAAATCCCCCTAACAATGACCTCATGCTTCTGTGTTGCTAGGGCTTATGTTTCAATCCTGTTCAGTATTAAAAAAATAAGGAACATAATTACTTGGCCATGCTATCTCTATTTGCATGCCATCTCTAGCCACATGACCATATTCATCTGCCATAGAAAAAAAGTGGCCAGCAGGTCGAGGGAAGTGATTCTGCCCCTTTACTCAACTCTAGTGAGACCCCACCTGGAGTCCTGCGTCCAGCTCTGGAGCCCCCATCATAAGAAGGATATGGATGTGTTGGAGCGGGTCCAGAGGAGGGCCATGAAGATGATCAGAGGGCTGGAGTACCTCTCCTATGAGGACAGGCTAAGGGAGTTGGGGCTGTTCAGCCTGGAGAAGAGAAGGCTCCGGGACGACCTTAGAGCAGCCTTCCAGTACCGGATGGGGACCTACAGGAAGGATGGAGAGGGACTTTTCACAAGGGTGTGTAGTGATAGGACAAGGGGAAATGGCTGTAAACTAAAAGAGGGCAGATTTAGATTAGATGTTAGGAAGAAATTCTTCACCATGAGGGTGGTGAAACACTGGCAAAGGTTGCCCAGAGAAGCTGTGGGTGTCCCCTCCCTGGAAGTATTCAAGGCCAGGTTGGATGGAGCTCTGAGCAGCCTGGTCTAGTGGAAGATGTCCCTGCTCATGGCAGGTGGTTTGGAACCGGATGATCTTTAAGGTCCCTTCCAACCTTTACCATTCTACAATTCTATGATTCTAAAACAGAGGACATAAATCTAGATATATGTTGTACCACAAAGGAGCTGAATGAAGTAGGAAAGTCCTGCAAGAGTAAGTTCCTTAGCCCTTACAGTATTATTGAAATGACTATGTCCAGTAAGCTCTTAAATTTAGAAGTGAGTTTTGGATGGCAGATTAATGCTTGTGTTTATGTATTTACCTGTAGTACAAATGTATTGTGGGCAATATGTCACAGGCTTTGACTGAAGAAGTCACAGCAGCACTTAGGTATGTCTCCATCAGGTTCTATGTAAATGTCCCAAAACTCTAACTTAATCGTGCAAACTTTAAAAAATGTATACGTCACCCTTGAGTGAGCACACTTTTCTAAACAGAACTTAGATTAATTTGGCCATTTAAAACCACTTCATTGTAAATCCACGTCTTTTCAATTTATGGTTATGTGCAAATCAGATGGGAACACAAAACCTGGTTTGATAAATAACTTGCACAAGACGTTATGCCAGGAGATGTGCAAAAGCTGGCAGCTATGATGAAGATTTTATTAGCATGAATACGGGATAGTTGAAATAAATAGATGAATAGTGTAGGTTATTAATACAAACATGTGCTTAAATAAGCAAGATTTTTTTAAAAAATAATATGATTTTCCAGTTACAAAGTAATGATAAAATGTTTCAAACAGAGAACCAAAATTGCTAATTATGTTCAAAATCTTCACCCGGATTATAATGAAACTATCTTTCCAACGAGATGAGCTACAAGAATGAACTTGTTAAGAAGTTAAGGAACTCTGGGATGATGAAAATTTTCTGGTATGGCACTGCCTATGGTTAAAATAACATACACAGTTACATGGTGACAGAGTTCCATACTTTCAAACCTACTAGATAGGTTTAGATCAGATGAGCCAGAAGTACCTCTCAGTTAAGCGCTTCCAGCAATGTTCCCATAACGGGGTGAGATCTGTGAACACACTAGGACCTGCTTTCCACAAAAGGCAACCTTTTTTACATAGCCTAGGAGCTATGTCGTACTTCAGATGTACCTGATTTTGGTAACTGGAGACAAAGATCAGGGGTCTCATCAACGTATGCTCCCAATGACATATTTAAATGTAGGCCACTAACTTAGGCAACTTTAATAGATACAACAAGCCTGTAAATCAACTTTACAAGCTAGAATTCAGCTTGTAAAGTTTATAAACAGAAGGTTACCAATGGTTGTGAAGGTCAAAAAACAGATCATCTTTAGTCAGGAAAGAAGGCTCCCTGCCTTTGCTAAATACCTCTATAACCAGATTAATTCAGTTACAGTCAGCAAATAAAACCTAAAATGGTTAGACAATTTCAGATATCAGATATTTTTGAGATATCTCTATAATACTACAGTTCTGGCCTGCAGATTACTGGGTCTGTTCTGTGCAGCTTCATTCCATTCTGTTCTGGGATTTGGCAATTAAGGCTCTGCAGAGGCAACGTCTCAAGCCTTTCAGCCTTCTTCAGATAATCTGTAGCATTTCAGTTCAAATGCCTAGATTTAACAGTCAGAAGAACAGCCCATTCTATTTTAAGAAAGGAATAACTTCTTCCTTGATATCTTGAGGAGTGTTGCCATTAGATTACAGACTACAAAATGTGAGAAATCAGAAATCTGTGCATTCTGTATCAAAATCTTCAACTTGAGCACTGTTTTAATACTGATTTAGAGAGGGGGAGGAGAACTGAGAAGATAACACTGGCCACCAGCAGCCTACCGTGTTCCCAGAGCTACAACAGTTGGGTTTCTCCTATATATTGACCTTCTGACTTACCTTCTAACATCTGACACCTACTGACCTTTATCATCTTTATTACAGTTGTGAGCAGAATCTTTTTATTTTATTTTATTTTATATAGTTACCTTAATAACAGATGTCTCAACTCGGGATGGAGGACTCTGCACTTGTGCTGCTGCTGCCATGTTGGCGATGGTACTAAGGTGATTCATCTGGCTCATTGCCATCGTGACAGATGCTGGAGGTAGGCTCACTGGAATTAACGGGTGGGGCATCATCATAAAAGGCAGTTCCAATCCTGGTGGGGGGAAAAAAAAAAGGGAAGTGGATTTGTGCATCCTTTTAAAACATTGTCTTTTTTATCTCCTGATTGATAAACAATATTCAAGTGATGGGTGTGACAAGATGGTTCACACTGCAGGACAAAGCAGCTATGTGTCAGTTCTCTTCTGGGATATGCATGGCTAAACCACTAGCAACCATGGAGGGCTTCTAGCCACAAGGAGTGGCTATTAGACCTCTTAGTTTGTTCACATCAGTGTAATGTATGATATCACTGCTAAGCAATGGATGTTTATTATCTTCTTTAATATCTGCTGTAAGGTGCCTTAGTAATGCATTATTATGCCACCGATGCACAGGTTAGCAGTTATTTTAAGTATCAATTTTATTGCATGCGTATTTGTTCTTTATTGTCTCCGCTTCCCCTGCTTAATACTTTAAAGGAAGTAGTCCAATATTCCCCACATCTTTGTTTTTTCATAGCCTATTTATATAAACACAAAATAAAGACAGGAACTGGAAAACTGCTGATGTTAGTGCTGAAAGATGTCAACCCGTACCATTTGGCAGAAGGTGGTTCTGTTGAAGAGGGTTGAGAGGATGGCTAACTGGAACTTTATGCTGTCCAGGCAAGCTGGGGTGGTTAACAGAGGCCTGTGATCCTTGGGTGGGGGGAGACTGAAGTTTTTCTTTATCCCAAGAACCATCACTGCTGCCTGTGGGGAATGAATACGTATTATTTGGATGAAGGAAGACTCCAAATTTGCAATGTCTGACTTTGCTAGCAAGGCCAGCAATCCAACCTTTTTTCGCAAGTGGCATTTATTTTTATATATTTTTAATATATGGGTTAAGGGAAGGACTTTTGGGGTTTTTTTTCCATCCTCTGAAAAAGATATGTAAGGATAACTTTTTAAAGTTAAGAGTCAGAACACAAACTTAAAAGTATTTTAGTTGTGCTCATTCACGTGAATTTTCTGTTTGATGTGTATTTTGCACATACTTTTGCTACTCTCAGCAAGTAAAACTATATATGGCATTTGTTTTATACGAGAGAATATTTTTGCCTGCAAAATGTCTAAAAAAAGAATCTTGACTGTTATGCCAATTAAAACTTAAACTACATTTACATTCCTTCTTGTATTTGTAAATAAATAGACATCATAGGGAGTAACTAAAAACTTAAATTTATTGAGGGCACCAACATGCATGTATATGTGCTTGGCTGATGATTCTATTTTGTATATTCAATTTTTATCTCATATTATTAATTAAAATGTAAGGGATTATTAATAGATTCCTGCAGTCTTCTGGTCGTGGAATGGACTAACAGCAAGAAAGAATGTGGACAAGTAAGTGTTGAGACAAGCAGTAATTCATATGTTTGAGAAATACCCTTTTTCACTATTGCAGACCTCCTCATAAAAATACCCACAGAATTAAATGGAAAGATACAATTGAATGACAATACTAAAAATCATATAACATTATTAATTTGTACATTTCTGTATAACAAAAAGTTTTAAATCTTCCCATCTGGCGACTGACATCATTCATGGTGCACATTTACGTATAATGTTGAGATTGAGTATATGCATGCTTACACATACAAAGTAATCTATAATTTTTTTTTGTGTGAGTTTATCATAGACAATCAATAAACAATGTTTTAACATATTAATAAATATGTATATATGCATGCACTTTCAGCAGTATTAATATACACATCAGCAATATATGATTGCTTCCTTTTTCATACAAAGCACAATTTCACCCTCCTGACTTTGAAAGGTTCTCCTGTTTTCATGGGAATCTCTGCTGCTAAGGAGTTTAGGATAATATCAGCCAAGACCTATTGTCCATTTCTATTTAGCATTAGGGATTACAGTGAAGTGCATATTTCTGAATATTTTTCTATATACATCGTACGACTTATTGAACAACAGGGCCTCAAAAGCAACAGGACTAATACCACCACCTCCTTACTTCAGTAGAAACGGGATTAGCACATTAGTCTTGACATTTTTCACATCGTTTTCATGGAATGACAAAAGCATAAAAGTTGGTAGAATTCCAATTTAATTTCTCTAGATCTATTAAAAACCTGATTGTAAAAGCTGTACAACACAGTTTATAATGAAAAATACTCCATTATTGCCATGATTTTCTTTCCCTAGTTACTTCATGAAGACAGTTAAGGCTAACTATAAATTCTAACTCATTAGCTCAATACTGTCTCAGTCCCAGTGTAAATTGTTCAGAAGGACGTAATGAAAATTCAGTCCAAACTCTCCCGCAATCAAACAAAGCAATTTTATGAAACAATGAAAAGAATCAATTATATGAGAGATACTTTTATTATTTTACAAGAAATTGTCATAACCTTTATGAAGTGTACATAGTTGAGCTGGTTATTACATGATTTGAATCTCATCACCTCTGATAAGTGAATATGTTTTCTTGTACTTTGAGACCTCAGAGAGTCTCGAAACACAATGAACCTACTTTCAAACACATATGTTACTGAAGGAGCTAAATCTTAGCTGGAAAATGATTTTTTTTTTCCTTTTAGCTTTCTTTTCTCCAATTTATGGCTTTTTGCCACTGTGACATACACATTTCACTTATTTTGAACATTCTTCCATTAAAAAATATGACCCTGGAAATGAAAGTTAAACAGAAAAAGTGAGTTCATTAAATTTTAGCCAAAATCTAGGTGTTGATGTAGATTCAACAGAGGAAAACAGGTAGCTCTGTACGGTCATTCAGCCCATCTTGGAGGATGTGTCCATAAAATAATAAAGGTGTTTTTATAGTACTTAGGGCTTCATTAAAAAAACAACCACCAAAAATCTGTCTACACCATGTCAAATTCTAAGCAGGAGCAAGCCCAATCTTCATTTTTCCATCTGTTAGAAAAACGTTGAAGAGGGAACTTCTCTCTGGCAGATCCTGCAGTGGAGCCCCCACTGCTTGTCCATCTCACCCTAGTTTCACGCTGGATGTGGCACTGCCTGCCCTGCCGTGGCTGACGTGGAGGCAGAAAAGGCTCTCTATGCTGCCTGCTTTAGCATGAGTGCGACTGCGCTTCGATTCAGATGAAGTCAGCACTGCCTGGTGATCAGGTAATGGCCCAAATGAAATGAAGAGGGAAAGACCGCAAGAGACAAATGGAATGAATGGCCTCTGGGCATGCCTTCATCTGTACAGTAACTGCAGAAGAAGATTTTACAAATGGCTTAGACTTAGATGGCTTAAGTAAGATGAATCTGGGCCAGAATGTCTCGTTTTTGTAGCTGCAGACTCTCCTGTCTTCACCTTCCTCTGAAAATTTTTTTTGGACATTTATTTTTTGTTCTTTATTAAAAAAAAGAGATAGAAAAGGCTATGTTTCTAAAATGTATTTCAGACTTGGAGCAAAATTCTCTAGTTTACGTGTAAAGTTATAGTATTCTTACCAAGGTCACCATTTTACGAATCCTTTAAGCTCATTGTTTTGTACTTTCCCATCAAAACATGACAACATTCATATGTCACATATGTATATAGGAATACATGTAAAATATAAATATCTATCAGTAACTATACGAATATTTGTTAATATTATAAGTGAGGAAGATTTTGGCTTCTCTAGGGCTGGTGAATTCCCAGTAATATTTTCCCTATTTATTAGGAAGATCTTCTACAGTACAGTTAATTTCATGCTGCACGCTGATGTTCAATATGTAGATGGAGTCAATTCTGCTGTGACCCTTCCTAACCCGGTCACAGAATTTTGCACAGTCAGTCATAGATTGCCAATTATGGCACTGCTTATGTGGCTCAAAAATTAGTGCTTTCCTAAATCAGTACTCCCTCTGCCTCAAAATTACAGTCTCTGTTGTTTCAGAGTGATACCACACCTAATAACAAACTGGAAGAGAGAAGAGACAAGCTTCAGAAAGCGAAGTACTGAGGCTAACGTTTAGTCAGTGACAGATTCTTTAATACTTGTAGTCTGGCATCATCTGTCAAGATTTGTTTACAAGGAAAATGATTCATAGACAGAATCCAATCCATAACATTAGAAACCACTTTCAAGCTACAGGCTGTTGCGCTCCTGAACACTTTGAGTGGACAGACACCGATACAAATAGTCTTGGCCATTTGCTGTGTTTCTCTTACGTTAGTTAAGCAGAACAATTTTCCTCTTCGAGGAAACAGTTATTTTCATTAATGTCAAAGCAAAATAAGTGTTATTCCTTAGACAGTACTCACCGTCTGCACAACTAAGTGCAAGCTACCAGTTCTGTCACTTTTTACATTTGACTTTGATTTAATGCGTACAGTGGTTTCAAAGAGTATTAAAAATCTGTTGCCTTCTTCCTCTTCACTTGTTGCCCTGCTGGAGGCTTATGTTTTTGCAGTTCCATCAGTGGTTGTCAACTCTTTGTAATAGGATTAAAAGCTTGGACACCTGATATCCCTGGGTGCTGCAGTTCACCCTCATAAAAGCTGTTTGCTTTAAATTGAGAGAAAATCAGTTTTTAGTGGCATAATTAATTAAATTATGCAAAGTGTTCCAGATTCAGCATAACACTTTCTGAAGCAATTGGAAGCTCTGCGTTGCATTCAAACTGGATTTCAATTGATGCTGCACTAGGCTGACCATAGAGCACCATTTTCAAGGCTTTCAAGCACAAGGGATACAATTTTGAAATGCAAATGCTTCGTGTTGAGTGCTCAAACCCCGTACATGTGCACTTGAATAGGCAATTTGGTAGCCAGCTACGTATTTCATGTGCTACAACGCTAACAGGAGCACTCAAAAATTTGAAATTGAAGTTCCAAATGTAAGTGCATGTGCTTAAAAACTGGGCTAACGTTGTCTCACATTTACTCATCATGGACAACCTGACGGAACAAAAATGACAATACATTTTCATAATTTAAAGGGCAGACTACAGAATTCAGTGTTTTCCCCATCACCAACATTTCAGCACATATTGTCCATAATGTGAGTTACCTTCTCCCATA